AATAAAGGGAGACTAGTATAGATCTATTTCAAGCTATTTAGCTCTCATCAGCAAGCCATTACCCTTACTGGGATTTGAACCTGGGCTATATTGCATACTAGCATGATCTCTGCCTAGTATGCCTAGTATGCAATATAGCCCAGGTTCAAATCCCAGTAAGGGTAATGGCTTGCTGATGAGAGCTAAATAGCTTGAAATAGATCTATACTAGTCTCCCTATATTTATATATAAACACAAATACACACACACACACACACACACACACACATATATACACAAACATATATATATGTTTGCTCGGCTTCGTGCTTCCAGGAGCAATGTGGGATCTCAGCTGTTGCTCCTGGAAGCACGAAGCCGAGCAAACAAGCCTGAAGATAACGAATGACACTTCATCGAAACGTCACCAAGACACTCCCAATTTTATTCGGGAGAAAACCCGAATAACCAAAGACACACACACACACACACACACAGACACACACACATATTTGCATCTTAAGAGCCTGAAAAATATGACCTTTTAAAAAAAATTATATTGAATTTAGATTGCAGAATTGAGTTTTGGGAGAAAAGAGAGGTAGTGTATGTACTGTTTATGATACAGTCAACTATGATTAAAAATTCCAGCAGGTACCCTCTGAAGCAGTATTGCACACTAAGAACTAAATCATTGCAATTCACTGAACTATATTTTTCACCACCTTTAAAATATCCTTCACACTAAAATCAGGTCTGTGTTACAACTTAAAATGTGAAAAACAGATTTGTGTAGATCTTAGCAATTTTTAATCTTTCTAGGGTAGAATATTTTTCCCCTTGCATTGTCTTCACAATTCAGCTGGAAATATGAGGTGTTTAATCCAAAGAGAGAGCTGAATCAACTGTGTCATAGATTTAAAGTTTCCTCACAATTCATATTAATACTGCCTTAACACATACACTAATGTCTTGTAACTAAAATTATTTTTCCCTTACTGTTTTGGGTATTTGTTTTCTATTAAAAATTATTTTTGGTTCTAAATATCTGAAGAGAATAAAAAAGGTTAATCCGGGTTGAAGCACATTAACATGATCTCAGAAAGCATATTGTAATTTAGAACACAACTATTTTCTTCATTGCTATATGTTCTTTTGTTTATGCTAATTACAGGCATAATTATTATCTATTCTAGAAGTGTAAGATTATCATAAAGATGTATTTAATTGATATTTAATCATTTAGGGAGATTATCTTAATTATTTCTTGTGTATCTTTCCTTATTAAGAAGTAAAAATTGAATCTAAAGTTAGGGCCTTGCAGAGATATTTATTATGATGTCATTATACAAACAAATACAAATGGTCACAATTAAAGATGCTAAAATCAATTTTAATATGATATTGCATTCAAAATATTTTTATAGAAAAACCTTATTTCTTTGACGTACGTTTTTAAACTGATGTAACGTTTCAGAGTAATTCAAAGGGTTCTTTTAGTGTCTTCTTTTTTCCTAAAACCATGTTGTACAATATACATATTTATTCTATTCCCTCTTTCTTTTTTCTCTGCAGGAGATACAATATTTATTATTCTTAGGAAACAGAAGCTCATCTTCCTCCATTGGTATCACCATATTACAGTACTACTTTATTCTTGGTACTCTTACAAGGACATGGTGGCCGGTGGTGGCTGGTTTATGACCATGAACTATGGAGTACATGCAGTCATGTACACATATTATGCCTTGCGGGCTGCGGGCTTCAGAGTGTCACGCAAATTTGCCATGTTTATCACCTTGTCACAGATTACACAGATGTTTGTGGGCTGCATAGTCAACTACCTGGTCTTCGCCTGGATGCAACAAGGCCAATGCCACTCACATGTTTACAACGTCGTTTGGTGTTCCCTCATGTACCTCAGCTACTTTGTGCTCTTCTGTCATTTCTTCTTTGACGCATACATTGGCAAAACAAGGAAAGCAAGGAAGGCTGAGTAATGCTAGGAATACCGCTAAGCCCCCACTCAGCTCGTCGACCAAACCAGAAACACAAAGCAAAACAAAATGGCACAACAAAAACCATTTATATGTGGTGCAAGTAAAACTCAGCAGCTGTGGACAGATAGGTTTGTTCAAACTGATAAATTTATGATCATGTTACGGTAAGGACTCAAGGAATGATCTTTATATCTTAGCAGGCTGCTGTAAGACATCTTCTTTCTTGCATCTCTTAAAAGAAGCAATCTTGCATTTAGAAAACAAAAGGAGAAAAAGATCAGAATTTTGCGAAATAAAATATTAAGAATATGGTTTCCCCCATCATATAGATAACCTTTATTTTAAATGAAATTTATTATATTCTTTCTAACTTTTGTTTTTAAAGATCTAAAACTTGAACGGAATTTAAGAAGAGGAAACAAATAGTCTGTATCCTGTGAAATATTACAAATCTGCCTTACACTGTCAGAGCATGGTTCTTTTGAGCTCCTTCTTCTCTATTCTGACCGGCAGCAGTTCTACTAATCTTGGGAAATGCCCTGCAAGTAAAGATCCTGGTTTATTTTATATACATACAATACACCCAAGAATCCCAAGGATTAAACTTTGGACATTTCTGCAGGCAAAGTATTTGCTCTCCAATTGAGTTAAGGGATCCTTCCAGTGTTTTCCAGTATTTCTGTAAAAGTGGGGGGAAAGCTCCTTCTTGAAAAGGTTGCACTCTAGGAAGCCAAATTATTTTAAAAAAAGGTTCATATCAAAGCTCTTATTAGGGCAGCCTTTTAAATTCCACTGAAGCACTACATGACGAAAAAAATGGTAACCATGGGTGCACAAGAGAGCATGGGTGCCTGGGTTCATATATGTTCTGTATTATGTTGTCAGAGGCTCTGGTATGTCAAGTTAAAGATTTAGAATTAGAATAATCTAAAGATTGAAAGCTTTCTTCAAAAAATGTGTTAGAAGGCATTGGTTCAAGCGTATTTTGAGTCTAAAATGTGGCCAAGAATAATTGTAATATTGAGTCAGTTAGTTACTGGAACTATTGATAATAGAAAGCAGGAGGAGAGGGGGGAAAAGGGATAGGAAATGGCCCTTCCCAGTAAGCCAATTTGCAGAGATCTTTCCAGCTACTGTGCTGTGATGCTATTTGAGATACAGAGGATATTGTTCACTCTTCATTTGGTTGATATATTGTCATCTGAATCACTTTATCCACAGTTATTTCTATTACCCAGAATTGTTCAAAATAAGGGAATGCAAATGTTACAGTAAGGCTGGTTTTTGGAACGACGTTTCCTGCTTCCAATGTCTTCTCTTTCTTCCTGTTGATTCCAATGACGGCTCACAGCTCATAACCACAAGTCGTTGTTAAGAGAACTTGTAATTTCTTTATCATAGATCATAAACAGAGGTACAATTTTCATTGGTGTATGCAAATTGCTTCTCCTACCAAACAAGTCTAAGGCTCCAAAACTGAGGTGGAACCATCATAGGGAGAAGAAAATAGAAGCTATCCTAAAGATGATAGAGCCCGAAGATACATCATTAAGTGCAATTGGAATGAAAGGTACAATGACAAGCAAAAATTAGCTTTGGAGATATATTAGTATTAGAGAGATCAGGAAACAAATACTGTGGTATGGTACATATTTTATATTTTTATGAACTTCAAAGAATAGATATCTGCAACTTTAAATAGTATTTTACAGACTGTAAATGACTTTAGCTAACACTGTGCTTCTGTATTTGCTTCACAAGCAATGCAAAGATGTTTAAAGTGCCCTCCTGTGGCCACTTAGAGATACTACTCTAGAAGGCAGACCATGGAATCATACTGCAAGCTTTGACGAGGGCAAATCCTGAATGGACTGGTTGTGCTGCAACAAATTAATGTATAGAAAAAACTTCATGCTCACTTTTTAAAAAACAAATCCATAGGAAAACTATACTGTAGCATCCTTGATTGCTTAAAAAAAGACATCTGGTTCTTCAGTCAGCTGCAGATAAAAAGATGCCACTCTGAACCTCAGAGAAATAGCTGAAAAGAGCCATATTTTCTACAAAGAAAAAGTAGATTGTATTATCTGTAAGATTTCAGTCCTTACAAAGCCAAATAAAATATATAACATTCCTAATACTTCAAAGAAAAAAGTATGTAAATTTAATGTTGCAAGTGTATTAGCATAATGTTTTCTCATATCTGTTCGGTTCTTTTTAACAATTAGAAGAACTAGAGAAAGAATGAAAAGCTGCTATTTTACGTAGGGAATCAAACGTACATGTAACTACATATATAATCCTTACATGACTTGTCCAAAATAAAATTAATGGGGCCAGGCAGAATCACTTTTTTTTTCTAATGGAAAATGTTGTCCACTTTCTTACTTTAACTTCAGACTCAGAGATTATACTCAGACATAGTAATACGGTACATAATAATTTGATTTAGCTTCAACTGTGCTGTCTATCATTCAGGACTCAATGTAATAACCCTGTTAGACATAAAGGGCTTTCAATGTTCCATGATGTCCAGAAAACTGCTACATTCTATATGATTCTATGTGAACTGTATTTGGGGGTGGGGGCTATGGGATTCAGAAGCTCTCTAGGGCTTAATCATAACTGTGAAAAATTGAAAAAAAAGTTTGTAGCTGTGTCATTTAAGTTATTGATGTTCTGACATTGTTATACACTACAAGAATAACAAAATATTATATTAAGTAGAACATAAAAATATAATAGTAAATTATAGGACTTATAGGGTACATGGGCATTAAATTAAAATGTAGACAATGTTATTTGGGGTTGCGAGGGTAAGAATTCTGTTCCACAGTAAACCTTCCTTTGCTTTCTGCTCCCACAACAAATATTTGAAGCAAAACTAAAGTGTGGAAAAGTTGTGGGAAGTAGTAGTTGGTAATTTGCAGCTGTGCCCTTACCATGTGTATCTTTCATGTCTCTCTTAATTGTTTGCATTATAAGCTGATGATCTACTCATTCATGGAAAATTTACTTTTTTAGAAGATGGTATTTCACAAGGGATGCTAAGAATTTTATTATTTTTTTTGCTCCCTGTAACCAAAGGAATGGATTACATCAGTGAAGATCATTGATTTAAAAGGGTTTTCCCCCCTGTTTTATTCTAGTATTAATAAGAGTGATAAGCAACCATTTGCATTCTTTTTTCATATGACTTATGAGAATGCTTTGATAGGGCAGTTCTGAGATAGTTGTTTAAAGGCACAATGTCACAGAACTCAAAACAGCATTCCAGCCTTATTCCTCTTCCATTAAAGCAGTTGTGGTTTACTTTTGAAAGGGAAAGTTTGTTTATTATTATTAGAAAGAAAAATGAGAAAAAATGATATTGCACTGTTATAAAAATAATAATAATAACAGTTATAAGATGAACATTGTTATAAAATGAACCAGAAGAATAGGCATCTTTTGTCCAGAATAGGTTGTCCAGACCCAAAATATTTATATCTCAACTCTCCCATTCAAATAACTGGCTCTGAAAATGTGTGAGGCGATAGCTAGCTGGTATCTCCTTCTCCCCCTTTTATTTACAAATGAGCAAATGTACTGCAATACATAATGGCCTAACATTTATCACCTTTAATATTCTTATAAGAATAAATTCAGCTAAGTTACTATTTAGTAACTGGGTTAAATTATTGCAAAATCTGCAAAATATTTTTTCCTTATTGGAAAGCTAATTGGAAGCCTTGATTCCTGGAGTTCCATAAACAGATTATAATGTTTGCTGAGTCATTTGTAATTTTCTTAATTGTTGCTCATCCACAGAATCTCCTGCTTTAACCATTTAGGTCACCAAAATATAGTGAATAAGTTAAATATACTTGCATGATCTATTCTTTAGACCTAAAGAAGTTACAGATTCTGCAAATCACCTAAACGTGTGCCAGCTAGCTCATCTGGAATGCACCCAATCCAGTGCTGATGATCCCATTTTAGACCATAGATTACATTGAGGCACGTTTTGGTAAACTTTCTTGTTGAGCAAGTGAATTCATTCATTGAGTCTCAGGCTAAGCACTCGCCTTTTATGGCCTAAATCTAGAAAGACTTGAGTCATGCTTAAGCATGCTAGTATCAGTGGATTTGTCTGTCTTGGCTGAGCTGATACAGAAATAGGAGACTCACAAATACATAGAGAGCAAAGCAGTTAAAAAGAAGACATATAAAGGTGGGTCAGTGACTGTGTGAACATGACTGATCTGCATTGCCTTGAAAAGTCTTCCATGCAGAAATATGTCTTAAGATTTTGTATTTCTGGAGAATGGAGGAGTGAATAGTTTGCAAGGCTAACCATGCAGTGATATCATATTGATTCAAAACTAAATCATCTTAGTTCAAGGGGGTGATGGTTATTCCCTAATGAGTGGGGGTAGACCCAACCACGTCCACACTTTAGGATTCTGACTCATACGTCACTCCTGCTAAAGTTTGTCTCAATTATTTACCACCAATGGTCAGTTTGCGTACCAGCCACTTACCCATCTTAGAAAGTAATTTTGCTCCCTTTTTTAAAATGAAAGCTTAGCTTATTTGCATCTATTCAGAAATAGAAGATATAGCTGAAAAATGAGTGATGAAATAGATTTTAAAACTAAATGGTGTGTAACACAGTACATAGGATGCCATTCTGTTCTCATTAAGATGTGCATCTTAATGAACCAAAAAAAAATCCGAAACAGTGATGAGGGTTGGCTTGAGGCAAATAGAGAGGGAAAGTGTTTCAAAGCCTCGATTAGCAACTTCCTTGCTCTGTGTTTGCCAGCAATTGGAAATCTTGATCCTTTCTCTCCCTCATCATAAACTGTCCAGGAGCTTTTCCTCTTGCTTTCAAATAAGAAGTTTGAATATAACCATCTAAAAGAAAAGCATGGGCTTGACCACTAAAAACTCAATTTCCCATAATAAATTTAACTAATATAATACTTTTCTATAACACCTGACACTTAACATGTAAGCATATCCTGAAGGACATTTCATCTGATACTTAGATATTCACAGGTGAAATTCCCAAATGTTATATTTGCTGGGAGTTTTGACATATACCGTATACTGTAGATCCATCATAAGGATGCCAAAGGACACTTCAGAGAATACTACTCCCTTCTCCTCCTCCTCCTCCTTTGCAGGAGAATACAATTGTAAGAAATGGTTATCATTCAGAATTCCTTGACATTTAGGAACAAATTGTTTTCCTAATTGCCTAATTCAGCAACTCCTGCTTAAATCCTACTGAAAGCATTCATTTGGAAATTTATTGCTTATTTAACGCATCTGGTTAAACATTGGCAATTTAATTTCTTCCTGCTTTCCTTCTATTCCCCGTGAAAAGGTTTTGAAAAACATATTCCAGTTTTCAGCATTATAGTTTTTATTTTTATGAAAACAACGATTTTCCTTTTGAAGAAAAGGGGGAAAAAGCAACATGTGTTAATTTGGTTAAAATGGCCCTGAAATAATCATTGCTAGTTTTGAATAAGCCTGTAAAAACAGTGTGTTAGTAAACAAAAATGAAAATGAATCTGTACTCTGAATTTTTACTATCCGCCTTTTAAATAGTTTCTTGCACAATGAATATAGGCACTCTATTTTCTATTTTTATATATGTAGATAGGTCACGAACGAGGAAGATATAATTAAATGCTGATGAGGATCATAGTTCTAACTAGTACCCCTCAGAAACAAAATATATAGTAGGCAGGGATGGGGTCTATTTTTTCACAGAGCCATAAGTCATTCATAAGCAAGCAGGGGTCTCTAATGCCTAGAACAGGGGTGTCAAACTTGTGGCGTCATGGGGCTTTTTACCCCTTCACTAAATCAGGCCTGGGCATGGCCAGCATATGAGGCATCCAGGCTGTGGACTGTGAGTTTGACAGTCCTGGCCTAGAACCTCCCCCCCCCCCCAGCTGTGGGGAAGGTTCTTCATGTTGAAATTTCATAATTAACTTCATCATAGGGGCCGGGATAAGAATCTCACTACGATTTGCTTACCTATAGTTTTTTTAAAAAAAATAAAATAAACCACAATTGGCTGGGATCACACAACATGCAAAGCCCCCATTCCACAATGGCTGATTCAGGCTATATAACCAGCCACAACCCAACCAAGGATATTGGGGTTCAGCATTATGTGCAAAACCAGGAATGGATTCTATAAACTGCCCGTTCCACTTTTCCAATGCTTTATTCTGCAGATGAACTGAAGTGAACTGCCTTGTGAAAAAATATAATACTTTGTACTTTTACAGCCACTGCAACCGAGTTACATAATCTCAGTTAAAGTATATATCAGCTTTGTCAAAAGGGAGAAGGATTCTTGCCAGTCCTTTCCATCCACTGCAGTTATTGCACCATAAACGCTCTTTATTTTGAACCAAAGCAGCTAGCAGGTTTTTCTTGGGCAATGGGGGATGCCATCCTCTCTTCACCTGATGCCCATCACTTCCACGGCTTCAGGGACCTTTGCTCAAGAAAGTGGTGTATTTGATCATCTCATCTGCTTAATAGGATACCACCTAATGCATGCCAACACCCGAGCTGGGTGAGCCCTTACGTCATTTTCCCAAGAGAATTATTCATCTCTGTGTGTCAACAGCAGTTTAAGTAATTTGCCAAGCATTCTGTTTCTTCTAGAGTCTCTCTGTCTAGCCAAAATGAGACCATTTAACACCATATCATTCTTCTAGTGCCCTACTGGTTCCCAGCATGGGATTACAGGCTTCTCACCTATCTTCATTCTCCAGAGCTATTTGGTTCTTCAGTGTCTTAAAGCTTGAATCAGATGTATGTTCAGATTAAAGTTGTCTGTAAAGTATCTATAATGATTAGGAATAGCTTTATTTTGTCATTTTCAAATATGGATGTTTCATTCCATAAAAGGGAGAGTTTTTAATTTTAATTTTATTTTGGTATATCAATATTCTAAATAAAATGTGATTTTTTTTGGTTTAAAATAACACATTTGTCTGTCTTATTATGCACATATATTATGCATTATATCTTGTTTTGTCTTTAAAAATGCATCAGTACATATCTGGTTGTAACATACAGTATGTAAAACATTCTGAGAGAAAGAAAAATATACTACCTTACTGTCTCCAAAAAACCTGATGAAACCATTTCTAATCAGCATCCCAAAAATCCTTATAAAACAGTTTCCTGAGGATTAACATAGAACTCTGAGAACTACCATGGTTTAACACTAAGCAAATTAAATTAGCTTCTATTTTTTTATGGTGGAAGACACAAAAATACATTCATGTAAACCCAATCTCCAAAAATCCATATTGTGATCAATATGGACACCATTTTAACCATAGAACCTGTTTTCGTTTATCGATGTTATGGACCATAACCTAGCACATTAAAAGCATTAAGAAATTCAAGTAGGTTGAATCTACTCTACACAAAGAATAAAATACTTGGCGGTTTCTATAGAATCACAGTGCCCCACTTCACTATCCTATCCTATTCATTTCCATTTTGCTTTTAGATGCAACCCCCCCCCCCAAACCCTACACATGTGCAATGAAAGGCCATGTTAGCATTCCATTTCCATACTGAAAATAGGATCATTTCTTTAATTACTTGAAATCATCTCTGTGCCAAGTATTTTATTCTTTGTGTAGAGTAGATTCAACCTACTTGAATCTAGCTTCCTAATTAATAGCTGCTTTTCTTAATGCTTTTGTCCACTGCTATGAAATAGCTTGAAGTGTATTTGGTTACAGTGTACCTGTCTGGAAGAAGGTAGTGAATAAAACCAGGAATAAGATAGTATAACAACACCAAGGAAGATATCAAGCTGGTTCTTTGCGGTTTCCAGAGTGGCCCCATGAGCCAGATTTAAGCACCCCATGGGCTGGATTTGGCAAAAAGAGAGCTCACGAGGCCAGTGTGTGGCCCTCCCGAACTCCGTTTTCACTGGCAGAGAGTTTCAGGAGGCCGTCCCAGCTGAAAACACAGCTCGCAAGCCTATTTCACTGGCAGAGCGCTCGGGCCACCCCAGGCACCCCTGACATGTCAAACTGGCCATGCCCACCCTAGCCATATCCGCTCCCCCCAAGGTCAAACAATCCTAATGCGGCCCTCAATGAAATCGAGTTCGACACCCCTGCCCTAGACTATATACTACAGTAGAATATAGAGGGAGCCCTAACATCATATCAAGAGAGCAGTTTTATATCATTGACATGAAATTGTTTGAAAATGAAAGCATTGTCTTGACAGACAATAATACAGAAAGGAGTAAGGCAGGGTTGCCCACTATCACATCTGCTCTTTATCCTGATGCTTGAAAGTTTGTTAATAAGAATTAG